ACATAAGGCCACTGATAATAAAGACTTATCGCAAAACCTCGTATTGGCATAGAACAACTGAAATAGTATCGAGTGTATTCATACTTTTCAAAACAATAGCATAAGTGTCACCGTTCCTCAATGCATTAGCAGCAAAGCGACTTATTTCCATAACTAAACTGCTTATAATTAAATTTTGCAAATTAATTCAGCTATCTCTTCACCATATAACTCAAATCTGAGAGGTTGTAATTATAAGAAGTGTTCGCAATTGAGAGAATAGAAGCAAACCGAAAAGACGAGCAGTTTAGTTATGGCCTGAAATGATATTCATTTATTATGCAATAACTATTCAATTGTAGTCATACTTGGTTTCTAAATCTGGCAGCTTTTGGAAGATCACATCAGCTAGCTGCAATGGTTCTTGTCGTCTTAAAATTGTTCAAATCCCGTTTCATTCTGCAAATGCTGCATTCTTTTTCTTGTATTTTTTTGACAGACGAAGAAAAACTGTTGCTGAATACTTTTTTATAATTCGGCGTTTTGAAAAGCATTAATTGAGATGGTTTTTTCATTGAATGAAGTGACCGTACAATTTAAAAAATATAAATTTATCATTATTGACATAGACAATAGACATTGAGCTGATAAGATTTTTTTGCGTTTCATGTCAGTGCAAAAAAGTATTTTATCAGTGTACATCTAAAGCGATTAGTGTGCTGCAACAATCTTAGTATGAAGGAAAGTGAACAGTGAAATCAAGATGAACATTGAACACTTTTCTCCAAATGGTCATGAAGGTATAAGTTTGAATGTTTCATCATAGAGTTAAATAGCTTGGATCCATTCTGCTTAGAACTCGCATTACTTCTAGCGACTAGCTAGCAGCATAAAATAACTGTTTTGGTATTTGTCATTTAGGCCCGTAGTAAACTTCTTGTCAGGTGAGATGATCTGACCTGACGGGGCTAGTTCAACTCTACCGAGTTCACATGATCACGATCCCTCCGCCATAGTATAAGGATACAAAGTCGCGGACGGATCACGGTCATGCGAGGTTCTGCGATGAGATGAACTGAGCCCCTCAGGAGAGAGTCCTACTGACGGGCTATACAGAGGAAATAGTATGTGTTCTACGAGAGTCCGTCAGGGGAACTCGTAAGTTGCTCGGAACCAACTTATGAGCTCCCCTAACGATATGTACTTTTGCGTCAAATGTGGAGCATCACCGACCCAAAAGTGTACACTTTTGCCAGTGATCCCAAGATACGCTCCTAATCAATTGGTTCGAAACCGTTCTGTCTATAACGTTACGGTGCAGCTATGTTCCTTCATGTGACTCCTACACATTGGCAAAAGGGTTTACCATTGAGTGGATTCGAACCATGGTCAATTGCTCAGTGGCTACCACCCCAACCACTGAACCACCAATACTTGACACGAGGAAGTTGTAAAAGTCTAATTGAATTAA